TTTATATCCAGTTTACTTCGTTTTAACATTGCTATTGCTTTGTATGTCGGGGGCGGGATATTCATGTGATTGGTTGTTGGTCGCGTTGCTCGCAAAAAATCGCTAAGCTTCAGACACGCCCAGCTTCAAGATTTTTTGATGCCTGTAGTGTAGACGGGCCGTTAGACATTAGAATTGACTATTCTTGTCTGTCACATACTCTTCTTGTCTGTCACATAAGTGGCGCAACTGGAGCGGTATTGCGCTAAAGGGAAATTATTTTGATCGAAGAGATTTAGATTTGCCTGCTAATGGGAATTCTGACGTCACCATTTTGTGTGCTTCGCGGATGCGCTCGGCTCCTCTCGACTGCTGCTCGGGTCTGCTCGGTCAGCTTCCAGATGACGAGGCATTCGTTCTACCAACTTACAGTAGATAACATTACAAACATTTTTAACAGGGGCCATAATAGTGTAAATAATGTTTGTTTTACAACTGAATGTAATGTTTTCTACTTTTTTACATCTGGGAAGGCCTTCATCAGATGGAAAGTGTCTTGACCAACAACTTAAGTATTTCTTATAGCTATGCAGGGCATTCAAGCGAGCAAATATAAGCAAGAACGAACAAAATGAATGAAGAATAAAATTGAAATTGTACAACATAATATTGTGGTGGTTCATCTTATAATTCAGTCTAGAGAATGCACCAACAGCATCTACAGTAAGACCTGCAAAAATCTAAATTTTCTAGGGGGAGGCCCCCCAAACCCTTCGTGCCATTTCGTCCGCGCGCATTTTTCAGGGCAATCTCTATTGGGCTCAGGGCCATCTGTAAATTAGCTTAGATGGCCCACAGGGCCATCTCCCAAAATCCTTAATGTCATGCACTGATGTAAACATGTCTCTGTAGAAGCACTAAATACAAATATGAACCAGAAAATGAGCAGAATAGGGCCCCTTTAATCAGTTTTTCTAGTAGAGACAACAACTTGTCAACTTAAAGTTCTGTGCTCCAAAGATGGTGTGGAATCAAAACACTGTTACTCATCTGAACGTCATGGAGCTCACAGCATCAGTCCAAAGATTGAATGTGTTTTGTTCTCCCAATCTAGGCCAGACCACTTGAGCTGCCATGTGAAGCATGTGCATTCCTCAGAAAGACCGTTCAAATGTCAAGTAACGGTAAGAGTCTTCACTGTGCACTTCCAGATTACCATCATTATCATTCATTTTGTTGCTGTTCTCCTCTGACCTTTGACCCTGTGTTGTGTGCGTGTGCAGGCCTGTACCTCTGCTTTTGCCACCAAAGACAGACTGCGCTCCCACATGATCAGACATGAGGGCAAGGTGACCTGCAGCATCTGTGGGAAGATGCTGAGTGCAGCGTACATCACCAGCCATCTGAAGACTCACGGACAGACCAACTTCAACTCCTGTAACAAAGGTACGACACACACCTCTAACATCACTAATGGAAGGTCTGCAGCAGATAACAGAGGATTTCTACAAATCTTTAGTCATTGTATTTGGCTGACGCTTTTATGAAAAGCCTCTTACATACACTTCAAAAACTAAATTCTGTAAGTCTAGGTTTTTACAGCCCTCTCCAACACTGTTGAGATATTGGCAGTGTGGCAGAAATCTTTTTTTACTAAGTTTAATTAAAGTTGCTGTCTCCTTTTTGTTAACCTATCAATTGTTTAATGATGTTAAATCATTGATACAACAACTCAGAACAACTTTTTCACAAAAATCTCCAAGACCATTTTGGCCAATTGTAAGTCATTGTAAAATGCAGCAAAAAACACAACATAAACAAAGGTTGACAATGATATGAAACATCATAAATAATTATTACACCAGGCTTCCGATTATAGTCAATGGTGAAACTCCAAATGTTAGCCATGTTTCTTTAAACCCCTAAAAAAAGACAATAGTGAGTCCTACATAATACATAAAATGCAACCTGAGAAAGAGAGGATAAAACCAAACATGCATTATTTAATAACTATTTAACATGTATTTTAAAAGTAAAGGAATATTCCCTATGTGTCTCTAGTTATGTTGACTACAATTATTCACATCCAATGTCTTGTTATTATGGCATAGCTTACACAGAAATGTGCTTAACATATTGGCAGGTATAAAATGATTGGCTAAGGTACATGTCCAAACAAGCTGAACCTGGATAAACACACACACTGGCCCGTCCATCAACATTTTATCACAGGGAAAGATGAAAAGAATGTTAGTCATCAGTACATGTTCAATCCCATCACCCCGCCCTAATCCTGGTTGTTAAAAGTATAAAGTTTCGGTACTGTTAAAATGTTACGCAACATTAGATTGGGATTATACAGAGGGTTTGGCCCATTTAGCTCTGCTTTTATATTAAAGGTCCCGTATTATGCTGTTTTACATCAATATATTATAGGTCTCAGATACAAAACAGATCATTGCAGCATCCCATAATCCCCTCTGTTTCAGCCCTGTTTCCAAAGTGCTGATTCTCTGTCTGTTACTTTAGATGAAAATAAGGAGCCACTCCCCA